GCATTTTCTCTTGACATTAAAAAAAATCAAAACCCATTCTCTCATGTGACAGATAGAGACACATAGCTTAATAAAACCAATAAGTCTACATGAGATTTACATGAGGTAAGTGAATAAAGTCATATATTGAAACACTTGAAAAAAATCTATCGCAGATTGTTACCTTATATTGTGAACAGATACAATGCAGAAGGAAACAAAAATGAATAACTGTGAAAATAATATTTTAAACATTCTTTGCATAAATAGATGTTATGTATGCCAAAAGAAATTTGTGTCATCTTGGTTTCTAGTGGTCATTTGGCAATTTGGCATATCAGGACCACAACATTGCATTACAGTCTGAATGAAAGATAGACATATTTCTTTGGGTTACTATTTTTTTAATCATTAATCATTTCATACCAAGCAAGGCAATAAAGCTAACAAGATGCAAGTGGTTAATGAGAGTTAAAGAATGTGAGAGAAAAACATTATTAAGGCAAAAGGTCAATAAAAGAGGAGGAATTAAGGAAGCAGAAGTTAATGATTGACATTGCATTTACATTTTTGAAAGTTGATTGGAAAGCAATAAGCTAGAAGAGAATTTCATGAACATGCAGTGTGAGAGAAGAAACTGTTAGCATAGAACTTATGTTTGTATCTAGAAACTTCAACTGTAAAATGATGAAACCTAACTGCAAATCTGGTACTGAACTTAAATCCATAAAGTGTAGGAACCAAAGAGAAAAGTTCATCAGAACAATTACCATGCAAGTATTTATAGAAAAGGCACAGGGAAGTTATGTTATAATGGTGGAAAAATGATTGAAGCTGAGATGGTAGGTCAGAATCAATAACACTGCAGATTCTTTTTTGGATTAAGCACCAAATCAAATGTAGCAGCAATATTCAATGCATGGACAAATGGTAGAAATATATAAATATTAGATAGTTTCTGCTAAGAAAAACTAGCAATTGATTCAATATAATCTTTCCACATTATGTCAATGGAAAACATTAGTCCAACAAGGCATAATGATTCACTGTCCTGGTGGTTAGCATCAGCCATACTGATGGAAGGCAAAAAAGGTTTTTTAAGATGATTAAAAAAGAGCAGTTTTGTTTTGCATGTGTTAAAATTAACAAGCCATTTCTTGCCCCAGTTAACAACAGATTGAAGTTCATTTTTGAGATTATCTGCCAATTTAACCTTATCAAACCTATTAAATAGACTTTCCATTAAGACAGGTGTAAAGAATTGTGTCATCAGCATAAATAGCAGGTCGAGGAAGGCCGTTGATGAAAATTAAAAACAAAGTAGACACAAGAACAGAGCCCTGAGGGATACCTACATTAATGTAAAAAGATCTAGAGGAGTGGCTGTTAAAGATAACTTTAATTTTGTGATTAGATAAGAAAGATTTTACTCATTTTATTTTGCAGGGGTTGGGGTGGGGGCTAATAGCAATAGCATTCTTTCTTTGAGGAAACAAGAGAGAAAATAGGGAGATAGAAAGGAAAGATGGGAACAGTTTTGCCAAATTCTTGTCATCATGTGGTGGTCTGTCTCAAACTACTTCCTGCAATTAGAAGTCTTCACTCTTCCACTACTGCAACATTACTATCTTTGTGCTTTTTTGGTATTAAAACTTAAAACAAGTCAATACATCATTGTCAGGATTGCATATCCACAGAGTTCAAACCACCACCACTCAGATTCTGATTAGTATGATAAAGTTTACCATTTTTGGCTAGTCTATGCATTCTGTAAACATCAGTTACATTCAGGCTTTCCCTGTTAGCAGTGGGACAGCTTGGCATGTCTAGATACAGGCCTCTCTGCAATTGGTCTTTTAAGATGATAATAAAAGCAATGAGAAAACTAGCAGTTGACAAGAAACAGCGTCTTGTGATTCTATTTAATATGTAGCAAATAATAAATAATTTCTGTTTATTCCTTTGAATCATTATTATTCTTAGCTGATCAAGATGAAGAAAATATGTAATGACAGTTTTAAAAGGGATTATTGAAAAGTTTATGGCCCACCTAAACTGCAGCCTCTTTCCGACAGACACAACATTGCAAGCCATCTCTTTGACAATTTCTATGGCAAATATTTGGAAGATTTCCATTTTTAGTTCCAACAGTTCAGACCTTTGGAGATAAGACATGCAATGCCACTATGATGCAGTTGAATCAAACTCATTCCTTCATATTCCAATTGTAAAGAGGAAGTTCTACTCAGAGTTTTTTCAAAGAACTGCTGCTATGGTACAGACTCCTAATAAGATGCTTCACTGAACACTTTAATATTGACCTTTTCAAGTCAAGGGTTAATCATAATCTACCCTCCTCATTATCACAATATCCATTTCCTAATTCCTCCTCTTATGTTCATATCCCATGGCACATTCAGTAATCCTCTACTTTGAATGACTCTTGAGCCTTATCTGAAGTGAAATTTAGGATAAAATAAAATAAAAATGATCAAACATCAGAATTTTTCTTCTGCATGAAATGAATAAATTTGATGATGCACTCACCCTTTTCATATCTATCTTTATTCATATCTGTCTATCTATGTCTGTTCATATCTATCAATTTATCTATCTATGTCTATTCATATCTATCTATCTATCTATCTATCTATCTATCTATCTATCTGAGAATGTTCATTATCTATCTGAAATAGATATCTATCTATCTATCTATCTATCTATCTATCTATCTATCTATCTATCTATCTGTCTGAGAATGTCTGAGAAGGTTCATTATCTATTTATGCATTTATCTAAGAATTTTCATTATCTATCTATCTATCTATCTATCTATCTATCTATCTATCTATCTATCTATCTATCTGAGAATGTTCATTATCTGTTTATCTATCTATCTATTTATATATCTATATGTTATATACTATACCTATGAACACTAATGAGTATGGCCCAATCTTCCTAAATACATTGGACAGTATTGTAAGTGGGGGTAATATGCTGTCTAAGTAAGCCACCACTAGCAGTGGTTTACCTATTTCATGCAGCTGGCAAGTATTGCATTTTGTTGATGTTATAAAGATTACCATTTTATTTTCAACCTCTTTTTTGGATATTGCTCATTCAGTAAACTTTTCTACGTTACAACACTATCTATCTGAGAATGTTCATTATCTATCTATCTATCTATCTATCTATCTATCTATCTATCTATCTATCTATCTGAGAATGTTCATTATTTATCTATTTCAGAATGTTCCTTATCTATCTATCTATCTATCTATCTATCTATCTATCTATCTATCTATCTTTTTCAGAATGTCCATTATCTATCTATCTATTTCAGAATGTCCATTATCTATCTATTCAGGAATGTTCATTATATATTTGAGAATATTCATTGTCTATTTCAGAATGTTCATTATCTATCTATCTATCTATCTATCTATCTATCTATCTATCTATCTCAGAATGTATATTATCTATCTATCTATCTATCTATCTATCTATCTCAGAATGTCCATTATCTATCTATCTATCTATCTATCTATTTGAGAATATTCATTATCTATTTCAGCATGTTCATTATCTATCTATCTATCTATCTATCTATCAATCTATCTATCTATCTGAGAATGTTCATTATTCATCTATTTCCGAATGTCCATTATCTATCTATCTATTTCAGAATGTTCATTATATATTTCAGAATATTCATAATCTATTTCAGAATGTTCATTATCTAACTATCTATCTATCTATCTGAGAATGTTCATTATCTATTTCAGAATGTTCATTATCTATCTATCTATCTATCTATCTATCTATCTATCTATCTATCTATCTATCTATCTCAGAATGTCCATTATCTATCTATCTATTTGAGAATATTCATTATCTATTTCAGAACGTTCATTATCTATCTATCTATCTGAGAATATTCATTATCTATTTCAGAACGTTCATTATCTATCTATCTTTCTATCTATCTATCTATCTATCTATCTATCTATCTATCTATCTATCTATCTCAGAATGTCCATTATCTATCTATCTATCTATCTATTTCAGAATGTCCATTATCTATCTATCTATTTCAGAATGTCCATTATCTATCTATTTCAGAATGTTTATTATATATTTCAAATTATTCATTATCTATTTCAGAATGTTCATTATCTATCTATCTATCTATCTATCTATCTGAGAATGTTCATTATCTGTTTATCTATCTCTCTATTTATCTATCTATATGTTATATACTATACCTATGAACACTAATGGGTATGGCCCAATCTTCCTAAATACATTGGATAGTATTGTAAGTGGGGGTAATATGCTGTCTAAGTAAGCCACCACTAGCAGTGGTTTACCTATTTCATGCAGCTGGCAAGTATTGCATTTTGTTGATGTTATAAAGATTACCATTTTATTTTCAACCTCTTTTTTGGATATTGCTCATTCAGTAAACTTTTCTACGTTACAACACTATCTATCTGAGAATGTTCATTATCTATGTATCTATCTATCTATCTGAGAATGTTCATTATCTATCTATCTATCTATCTATCTATCTATCTATCTATCTGAGAATGTTCATTATTTATCTATTTCAGAATTTTCCTTATCTATCTATCTATCTATCTATCTATCTATCTATCTATCTATCTTTTTCAGAATGTCCATTATCTATCTATTTCAGAATGTTCATTATATATTTGAGAATATTCATTATCTATTTCAGAATGTTCATTATCTATCTATCTATCTATCTATCTATCTATCTATCTATCTATCTATCTCAGAATGTCCATTATCTATCTATCTATTTGAGAATATTCATTATCTATTTCAGAACGTTCATTATCTATCTATCTATCTGAGAATATTCATTATCTATTTCAGAACGTTCATTATCTATCTATCTTTCTATCTATCTATCTATCTATCTATCTATCTATCTATCTATCTCAGAATGTCCATTATCTATCTATCTATCTATCTATTTCAGAATGTCCATTATCTATCTATCTATTTCAGAATGTCCATTATCTATCTATTTCAGAATGTTTATTATATATTTCAAATTATTCATTATCTATTTCAGAATGTTCATTATCTATCTATCTATCTATCTATCTATCTGAGAATGTTCATTATCTGTTTATCTATCTCTCTATTTATCTATCTATATGTTATATACTATACCTATGAACACTAATGGGTATGGCCCAATCTTCCTAAATACATTGGATAGTATTGTAAGTGGGGGTAATATGCTGTCTAAGTAAGCCACCACTAGCAGTGGTTTACCTATTTCATGCAGCTGGCAAGTATTGCATTTTGTTGATGTTATAAAGATTACCATTTTATTTTCAACCTCTTTTTTGGATATTGCTCATTCAGTAAACTTTTCTACGTTACAACACTATCTATCTGAGAATGTTCATTATCTATGTATCTATCTATCTATCTGAGAATGTTCATTATCTATCTATCTATCTATCTATCTATCTATCTATCTGAGAATGTTCATTATTTATCTATTTCAGAATTTTCCTTTTCTATCTATCTATCTATCTATCTATCTATCTATCTATCTTTTTCAGAATGTCCATTATCTATCTATTTCAGAATGTTCATTATATATTTGAGAATATTCATTATCTATTTCAGAATGTTCATTATCTATCTATCTATCTATCTATCTATCTATCTATCTATCTATCTATCTCAGAATGTCCATTATCTATCTATCTATCTATCTATCTATCTATCTATTTGAGAATATTCATTATATATTTCAGCATGTTCATTATCTATCTATCTATCTATCTATCTATCTATCTATCTATCTATCTATCTATCTATCTCAGAATGTCCATTATCTATCTATCTATCTATCTATCTATTTGAGAATATTCATTATCTATTTCAGCATGTTCATTATCTATCTATCTATCTATCTATCTATCTATCTATCTGAGAATGTTCATTATTCATCTATTTCCGAATGTCCATTATCTATCTATCTATTTCAGAATGTTCATTATATATTTCAGAATATTCATAATCTATTTCAGAATGTTCATTATCTAACTATCTATCTATCTATCTGAGAATGTTCATTATCTATTTCAGAATGTTCATTATCTATCTATCTATTTATCTATCTATCTCAGAATGTCCATTATCTATCTATCTATTTGAGAATATTCATTATCTATTTCAGAATGTTCATTATCTATCTATCTATCTATCTATCTATCTATCTATCTATCTATCTCAGAATGTCCATTATCTATCTATCTATCTATCTATCTATCTATCTATCTATCTATTTCAGAATGTCCATTATCTATCTATCTATTTCAGAATGTCCATTATCTATCTATTTCAGAATGTTCATTATATATTTCAGAATATTCATTATCTATTTCAGAATGTTCATTATCTATCTATCTATCTATCTATCTATCTATCTATCTATCTATCTATCTATCTATCTATCTCAGAATGTCCATTATCTATCTATCTATCTATCTATCTATCTATTTGAGAATGTTCATTATCTATCTATCTACTTTTAATGATTGTCACTCATAAGTGTTAAGAACAAAAGCCTCTCAATAAATTGCTGTCAGTTTTTACTTTTTATAGCATAAATGCCAACAAAGAAGAATTCCACAAATAAAGCAATAGGTCATTGTTTGCAAAAGAAGAAAAAAAATATGTTCTTCATTTCATTGCCATTAGCCATACCAGTATTTGTTCAGAATTGTATTTGTTGTATTTCTCTACACAATAGTGAAAGCAAAATTATGAAATAGTTCTAAATTTTTTGGATAGATGTTTTTTGCTTATACTAGAATTCAACCAAAACAAGGCATAAGAGCTATTCAAGCTAGTGGGTTACTGTTAAACTGGCATAATAAATGAGGTGTGTATGTGAATAAAAAAGAAGGCGTGGAAAAATGAAGTTTATGAGGATAAAGAGGATAGATAATGAATAACCATTTTTTTGATGTGGTCAAGATAAATGTGTTTCCCGGTTGGTGTATGTTCTGCAAAGTAGCAGTTCTTGTGCATATCTGTTTTGAGTGGAACCTATTTCTAACCTTTGAAACACAGGGAAAATGTATGGCATTTTCCTAGTAGTAAAGGTCCGAATTGGTGGAACTAAAGAATGGAGCTCATCTGAACATTTGCCATGGAAATAGAAAATAGAAATCAGCTGCAAGTGTTTTATGATCTTGATTTTTTGAAAATATATCTACTATGATGTCAGCACCTCCTACTTGCTTGGTGAAGAGAAAGAATGTATAAATTGTCAAACATTAAATATCATCAGGAAATGCTGCTTTTGGTCAGTCAAGTCAAAGTCACTGTGTAACACCCTGAGGAAGACTGGAGTTACGGTTCAAGTAACATTTTTTCTGAATGCATATACATTTTTTTAATCATTTCACCACACGCAAGGCAATAATGCCCTTAAAAACACAAGGGTTTACTGAGAGTGATATAAATGAGTATATGCTAGTGAGGAGAAAAGTCAATAAAGAAATATTGGATTCAGGAAGGCAGAACATGGCGATTGATGTTGCATTTAAATTTTTGAAGATCATAGGTGGCAGAGAGTTCCACAGGTGAGAAATGTGAAAGGAGGAAGTATTAGAATAGAAATTAAGGCTGTGTCTAGCGGTTTCATCAGTAAAATGATGAAATCTAGTTGCCAATCTAGTTGTACATTTAAATTCATGTAGTCAAGGTACCATGGAAGAGAGCCCACAAAAACAATTGCCATGAAAATATTTATAGAAAAAGCATAGGGAAGCCACATCATGGTGGTAGGAAGTTGATTGATGTGTAAATATCTGATCAGGACCAATAATATTGTAGACCCTTCTTTAGACATTGTCAAACATCTCAAGATATATAGCAGTGGCATCAGGTCAAATATAGCAGCAATATTCAATGCATGGATTAATAGCAGATTTCAAAACATGCAAAAAGGATTCTGGTGAGAAGAATCGTCTGGCATAAGAGAGTGAAAAAACTTTGTTAGCAGTTGAAGGAAAACAATTGTTACCCAGTTTATGCTGAGAACAGTTTAAAACCTTTTAGACATATGACAAAATTTTCCATGAAGTTAGGCAACGTCAGTCTAGATGGATGACTGCTTCAGAATACCAGGTACTGTAAACTTGGATGTGCAGGTGGTGTAGTAGACAATGGCTTAGAATTGGAAATCAGATAATCAAGTTCCAATTCCATTTGGATTCAATATATTCACTTACATGCAAATAACCTTGGGAAAGTTATGAATCCACTTCTTCTCCCACAAGCTATGGGTTAATTAGTAGGTCTTGCATCAATAAATCATTATCATCTCCAAAAAATTCTTACAATCTGAAGGGATCTTCTTCTTATTGATTGTGTATCTGCCAACAAAGAGAGATGGAAAACTCAGCAGCATTGGAATCAAACAGTGGATCATGACAAGGAGGGGACGGGTAAGACTTCTCTATGGGAAGACCACATGTAAGGGACTGATGCAGCTGAAACACTAGAAACATAAACAATGATGAATGAATTTGAAATGACTTTGTGTAACACAAACAAAAATCCTTGGTAACACATGTCAATCCCATTGCGCAGTCAACACAGTATACTGCCAAGCTCTGCCTTTTCGGTGAAAATGTGCCTGCTTTTATGTAGCCTAAAAATTTAGTTGTTTAGTTGCAAAAGAATCATTTGCATAGCTAATCATCCTGACTATCTCATGGGGAAGCCAGTAGACACTTTCTTCCTTTATAACCGGACATTCCAAGGTTTGCACTGTGTCTGTTCTGGCATGGCAGCTAGTGCTGTCTTTCTGCAAAGACAGATCACTAAACATCGTCTTTTTTTTCCCTGATCAGGGTGAATACTGTTATCAGTAACAACTGGCTGCTCCATCTACATCTCATTTCTGCTACACAATAAAATATTTTCTGGTTTAGATAACCTACAAAAAGGTTGATAAGCAGTAAAAATTAAACAAACAAATCACTCAATCTATCATAAGCAACTCTTAAGCCTTGTATTTATTAAGGGTTGATAATGCATAAAAAAGAAATCAATCAGTCAACTGTACTCGTATATAACTATGGCTTTCTTAATTTCTTTGAATTGGACTTTTAATGAGGTTTGAAATAATTCAAAATTTTAATGACTCTTCTCATAGTTAGAAACAATAAAATAAATTTGTCATCTTGATTGGTAACTGTTGTAATATAAGCAAAGAGTTTGTTGAGATTGGGGGGAAACACCTGATTGCTCCTCCACCAACTATGAAGGTAATAGGTAGAGGTGGGAAAGAGGCAGGAGGTAACAAAAATGGCACTGCCTCGGAAAACAAAGAGCCCAAGGGACTGACTTCACAAGACACCGTTTCTTGCCAACTACTAGTTTTCACATTGTTTTATTAGCATCTTGCAAAGAGGCCTGTATCTAGACATGCCAAGCTGTCCAACTGCTAACAGGGAAAACCTGAATGTAACTGATGTTGACAAACATGTCCACATGTGATCCGGGGACTCTTTTGCATTTGTATTGAAGCGTGTTTGTCACAGTAACCTTGATTCACTTTTAGATTGAAAAACATGATGTTTGTTAAAAAAACAAAATTTGGCTTCAGGTTTAAAGACTTGTAAACTGAAACTCAAATTTCATGGAGAGAGAAACAGGTGAGAATGAGAGAGAGAGAGCAGAGAAAGGGATAGAGAAACGAAATAATTCAATCAATGCTTCTACCTTTAAAATAGTAATATCACTAAAAGTGATACAAACCTGAAAGGTCAAAGCCTGGTGTTTTTTTTTTTTATGGGGGTGATGTTATTTCATGCAGCTTGAAATTTTTAATGTAAAAATTTGTATAATATTAAACAAAATACTAAAAGCAAAATACAAATTAAAAAGGAGAAAAAAGAAACTTTCTAATTATTCACCATTGCTGCTTGAATACAAATTGCTGACCTTTGATTTAAAATGTTACTCTTAACACAAGGGTTCTTTCAAACTGAATATTCTTGAAAAAATCCAAATTGTTTCTAAATTATCTTTGTCATCAAATCACTAACAAATGTCAACCTTTTTTTGATTGCTTCAAGACAATGCTAAAATATAAAGACATAAATGTTAAAAAATACAGCAAATACATCATACTCTGAATGCAATATTTTGCTGGGAGAGGAAATTGGCTTTAGTTTGCAAGAGAATTTTGGCAAGTTATACAAGAAACTGCAAGCTTGCTATAAAACCTAGGCATACAAAAACATGAATATTTTTAAAATCATTTTGTTTATGATGAGAGCCAATATAATTCTATTAAAATACTATTATATAATTAATATATATTTACTAAACTCCCTTTAGACCAGCACAAAAGCAAACAAAGAGAAACATGCAGTAATAGTCTGTCTATATTTCTGAGATGAGGTATTATGTACATTATTTACATTATTCGGACTATTGTCCTCATCTTTGTCACCATATTTATCACAACGTTTTAGCTGTTGTACGCTCTGGCCTTCTTCAGGTGGTTGGAATGTCAAACCGAACCCTTTATTTCGCTCATTGGGGTAGACTATTCTAGTTCCACGTGCCATGTTTAATGGATGTCAGTTATCTCCTGTTAATTTTCCCTCTGAAAGTTCTCCACTGAATTAGCCGGGTATTGAATTCACAGTCTCAAGGACACATGGCACAGTGGATAAAGGGGTTGGTTAGATCCAGTGACATAACCCAAAGAGCTTTTTATCCTTTTAACTCTTAATTTAAAACTGGTTGGGTATGGGGTGAGCAACTCCACCCCATAAAAACCTATTTGCTATGAAAACCACTGCAGCTATATCTAGTGTGGTGAGGCTGTGGCTCTATAATCCACAGGAAGTCTACAGGATTTGAGTTACTGAGTGACCTCCCCTATATATATATATATATATATATATATATATATATATATATATATATAAAACTTTCAAATATCAATTTTTCCCCGACTTTAAAATTTCTTGGTAATATTCTTGTTCTTGAGGGGATTTTGTTTTAAATGATATTTCCAATTTTTACAATTTTT